AACTGTTCCACATGCAGGGAAATGGTGATGATACGTTGATTAAAATCCAACGTGAATTACAAAATGTGTATGCACGACAGAAGTGTTCCAAACTAACTAAAATTATAGATTTTATGCATACAAAAATGATGGAAAATGATATTGTTCCTTTATATTATACGTTTGCATTGAAGTAAACAAAATGTGGTTTAATTTCCTATACAGGGTGACTGGAACTGAACCCGCCATAGCTAATATGCGTATAGAGGAGGTCATTTGCTAATTACTGAACCTTACTTTCTATGACTAAAGTTTTATAGTTTAGGAGATATGACAATTTTTATACTTTTTTCAGATATTTCCGAAATTTGACCTAAAAAGTGCTTAAATTTTTTTCTCGCGTGATTTCAACAGTTTTTTTTATTTGATAATAATATCAAATATGTCTTTATTCAAATAAAATAAACTTCTGATCCAGATAATGATTGAATAGCTAGTTACGAGCCGCCAAAGTCTAACAAAAGTACAAACCACGATAAAAATTTCTACTTCGAAATCGATTTAAAAAAAAATTGATGGTGATAATGGATTGCCAATAATCTTAAAAATATCTCTAGCTTCTCTTCTTTCCAATGACATATTACACGTTGTAATTAGGTATTGAAATTTGTCAAAAATTCAATGTTTAAGGAAGAAAATGGAGTAATAATACAAAAATTATCTATACAAAGTTGATTTTGAATTGTTTTATTCTCTTTTCTTCATAATGTGATTATTATTTTTAAATTCATTTTTCAAAAAACACACAAAAATAGTTATGAAAAGGAGTATAGCAGAAAATATGAGATGTTTGAAGAAACTTTGTATGGATAATTTTCGTATTATTACTCCATTTTCTTCCATAAACTTTGAATTTTTAATAAATTTTAATATCTAATTACTACGTGTGATATATCATTGGAAAGAAGAGAAAGTAGCGATTTTTTTAAGATCATTGGCAATCCATTATCAGTATTAGTTTTTTTTCAAATCGAATTCGAACTTGAATTTTTTATCGTTGTTTGTACTTTTGTTGAACTTTGGCGGCTCGTAACTAGTTATTCAATCATTATCTGGATCTGAAATTTATTTTATTTGACTAAAGGTTTATTTGATATTAGTGTCAGATAAGAAAATCGGTTAAAATCATGCGAGAAAAAAAAATTAAGCAGTTTTGAGGTCCAATTTCGGAAAAATCTGAAAAATTTATAAAAATTGACATATCTTCTAAACTATAAAACTTTAGCCATCGAAAGTAAGGTTCAATAAATAGCAAATGACCTCCTCTATACGCGTATTAGCTATGGCGGGTTCAGTTCCAGTCACCCTGTATAATATATAAAATATACATATTATTTTTCCTATTAATACCTGTCACTGGTTGTTACAACTATCGGTTTTTACGACTAAATATGAGTAGTCCCTTCGATGTCGTTATAACAGGTTTTAACGTAATTAGATATTTATGATTTCAATAAAAAGTAGAAGGCAAATGAAAATGGCTATAGGGCCGTAAAAAGGATTTGAATATAAAAATAAATCCTTACCAGAACCTTCACCATATTTATATCGTAAGTATTGTTGCCTATGGGGAAACCACACAAGAAGTATGGGTTAACTTTGATGGACACGTCTTATATACGATTTGCGTTCCTCTGTTTTCAATTAACATCTGATTATGTTTTTTATCAATTAGTCGCGAATGTTGCAGTTATTTTAGAATAGGTACAGCAAGTTTTCTAAATGGCCGTAACTCAAGCCTTTTAAACGTATAAGTTTGATCATGAAATTGCTACGCTAACAAAATAGTGGTCGCTCGATATTTTGATAAAGGTACCTAGTTAGTTTTCATATTAAGTATCTACAGGGATTTATTTTAAATAAGTTAAGTATGCCCGCGACCGCGTACCTACGCGTGAATTTCGGTCTGCCACAGAAAGTTTTAATTGCGTGCTTGTCCCCATTCCAAAAACTGGTAAAACCCTGTCCTATATTTTTTTTGTTACATCAGAATAGCTCTAAACTTAGGTACATAAATATTTACCCCATTGAGGGTTTTTTTTACTATCACTAATTTTTTTTTATATATCTAATCAAAAGCCTGCCTTGCAATTAAAAAATAACTGCTAATTACGAATTTTCTTCTTTATCCAAGCTCTCATCTTTTGTAAAATGTGATTTCATCTTGTACTGTAACTATGATCTATAGGGGAAAGTAGTACGAGATGATCCCCTTAAGCGGGAATCGCTGTAAAATACATATTTTCCAAGGTAAACCAAAAATAAAGACGATTACTACTAGTATATTTATCTATCCAACTTTTCTTATACTCAAAACCAGAAATGAATTGAGGTTTCATTAAAATATTTAACTTTTTGCAAAACCTTACAAAGTGATCATCTTGTACACCCCTGTGGGTAAGATGATCCCCCAGGTAGGGGTAAGATGATCCCTATGATTCTATTCTATGATATATTCTATTCTGGTTGTATTCCTTTCTGAGTACCTAACGTTTAAATCATTTAAGCGCTTTTTGGCTTGAGCTGGGTTGCATATATCACAAATAAATTCACCTGCTTCATCACCCTTTACCCCAGCACATGCTTTATGGCCCCATTTTCCACATGCACAACATTATGTTCATCCTTCACCCTTGGTATCGCTTGAAATTTTTTTTTGTTCAGTACAGCCACTCAGTATCATTTTCTTCAGACTCAGGTGAGTTATATGAAGTTCTCTTTCTTTTATTTGACTTCCCTTTACCTACTCCATTGCCTTTTTTGATTTCATTCCCAGGGATCATCTCCTACATATAGGAAGGGATAATCTTGACCCAAGTCCCACTTTTTGTCAAATTATTTACTAAAATAATCTACAAGTACGCGGCTACGTTTTTATGGCCAAAATATTAAAATTAAACATAATAAAAAGCCTAACCACAACAGTAATTACATTTAACATTGTTAGAATAAAAGTAACATAAGCTCAAACTCATGCCTATTTTTTAGATCAGAACTACACATTTTTTCTTTTTTCTCTTCAAATTCGATGTATCGCTCACGCCACCATTACGATTTGACTGAGGCGGGGAGGTGTCCAGAGCTATGTTTTACCAGTTAAAGAACATAAATGACGTTAGTGGTTTCAGCACAATCGCGAAAGATTATCTTACCCCAAGGGATCAACTCGTACTACTTTCCCCTACTTAGATTTTTTCGCAAAAAATGCTGAACTGGTTTTATTTTAAACTTTGATCTCTAGGTGTTGTGCTAAAAATAAACTAAAAAATTAATAAACAATCAAATTAAGCCTATATGGAAATCCGAATCTTAAGAAAACTGTTCTACGATTCGATTCAAGTTGGCGCTACTGGAGAGTAAGGTCCAGTTACTGCTGGTGCTACTGGTGACGCCAACTGGTGAGCGTTAAAGTGGTAGGAGGACAATAGCATTTTCACTTACCAGGATGACGCGGACGCCACTGTAGAGTCAGGTCTCTCTCTTACCAGTGCAAGTGGTGCCAAATGTGGAGCATAAAAACGATACTTATGCGCGTTTTCACCATCAATCCCCAATTTTTAAGTGACCTCTATGAAAACAAAATGCCTGTTATGTGTTACCATAGGGGTCACTTAAAAATTAGGGAATGATGGTGAAAACGGGCATTAGTCATTGTTTTGGCATTTTATTGACTAAAACTAGCGGCCGCCCGCGACTTCATACGCGTGGAACCCGTTTTACCCCCTAAGGGGTAGAGTTTCGTAAAATCCTTTCTTAGCGGATGCCTACGTCATAACATCTACCTGCATGCCAAATTTCAGCCTGATCCGTCTAGTAGTTTGGGCTCTGCGTTGATAAATCTCTGTCAGTGTGGATAACTCAAAGGTTATCCACACTGACAAAAAAAATTTGAGTTCGGCCTACTAAAAATCAACGGTGTGCGGTGCGCCTACTCTTATCCATAGACTCTTTTCGCCCAAAGCACTAAGCCAACGATGAAAAAAATTCGTTGTATCACAGAATAATATAAATGGTTGCATTTGGACGGTACAATTTGATGATGTTGGTTCGGAAAAGAAATAAAATACAGAGCCACCTATTTGTAAATTATTAACTGTCAAAAATTTAGTGGCAATCACATGATTAAGGAATTTGCTATTAAATTATACATTACTAGCTTTCCGCCCGCGGCTTCGCGCGCGTGGACTACATTATCTACATATTTTACTGAACCCTATTTTTTCCAAAATAAAATTTAGCCTATGTTACTTGTGGATAATGTAGCTTTCAAATGGTGAAAGAATTAAAAACGGTCCAGTAGTTTTTGAGCCTATTCATTACAACCAAACAAACAAAGTTTTCCTCTTTATAATATTAGTGTAGATACCTACATCCTACTTACGAGCAAAAGTATGGAATCATCCCGTTTTGTTTGATTCCTAATGAGTATGCAGGTTTGCATTTATTTATTTTATGATATCAATTAATTTAAAGTAAATAAATAATTATTATTTATCTTCTACTAGCGGCCGCCCGCGACTTCGTACGCGTGGATCCTGTTTTACCCCCTTTTCCCGAATTTTCTTTGCTATAAACCTCACGGAGCCCGAGACCTTTCCAACGAATGCAAAACCGTGGAAATCGGTTTGTGCGTTCTGGAGTTATGGCGTCAGGGAGGAAAACCCGACTTATTTTTATATAGTAGATATTTCTTACGATCGGAACAAATTGGCTGATTCCATACTTTTGCTCGCGAGTGGTAGGTGACTGCAACACATATTAGTAGGTACCAAGTATTGTACAGGATGTACTGCTAGTTGCTACGTGCTACTGTCCACGAAGAAAATGTTATTTTGTATGTAAGCTGCAAACAGGATTATGCGTACAAAGACGCGTACGCGTGTCTATTACTAGTCTAGTACACGCCACCGTGGACAGTGACGCTAGCTACATTGTATGACTATCAAAGAAAAACACTGAGCTTGACTGTATTCTATTTATTTCCTACTTATAATTAATATTTTTATCACTTCATACTTTTTATACAGTCAGTTGGAAATCGGTGATTATCTAATTAATAGTGTCCGTGGTGATCATCATATCCACCGTGCCCGTGGTGCCCATGGTCCAAATGGTGGTGTCCATGTTCGTGGCCGTGGTGACCATGGTCGTGAACTAGTTCGTGAAGTCCGTGACCGTGACCGCCGTGTTCGTGGCCATCGTGCCCGCCGTGTTCGAAGCCACCATGCCCACCCTGTTCGTAGCCACCATGCCCACCCTGTTCGTAGCCACCATGCCCACCCTGTTCGTAGCCACCATGGCCGCCGGGTCCGAAGCCACCCTGCCCGCCGGGTCCGAAGCCACCCTGCCCGCCGGGTCCGAAGCCACCCTGCCCGCCGGGTCCGAAGCCACCATACCCGCCGTAGCCGTCCCCGAAGCCGCCACCGTAACCTAAAATAAAATTTGTGCGCGATTAGTATCAGTGGTTATTATTAATCTGTTATTGTTTCACTGTATGTTTTCCAAACAATATAAAATAAATAAATAAATAACCAAGAAAAACCTTGCATAGCTATTTTACTGCTCATTAATTGCGGTAGGTACTGTGGTTTTCACTAAACAGATTATAGGTTACAGACTTATTAACTTTTGTTTGTAGAGTTGTTAAGCACCACGTATAGCATAATAGATATTAAACAGGGCGAATGAGAGAAGGACTTTTAAGAGGGAAACTGTACCAACCTGGTGCGGCTAACGCCACAGCCATTAGCGCCAATGCGACAATCTGGAAAAAAATGAAAAAAATATGACTTTAGATATACGCATACGGGACTATTCTCTCCTCTCGTTCCCACCGCTGCAACTCCAGTGCAGCCAGCCTAGGATCTACAGCTTGACCGCCAATAAAAATCCAATCAGTCAAGGCCAAGTTTGTCCCGGGGCAAAATTAAACTATCATTGGACTCGCAACGAGATTAATCAGAAGAAAATATTTTCTATGAGGAGTTCGAAGTTAGGGTTCCACTTCCCTCCAGTGCAAAGAGGATGACAGGTGACAAAACAAAGGCTTAATGACCTATGCAAAGGGATCATCCTCCTTAGTGATGGATGTTCTAATGAATTAAGCTTGGTTGTAAATTTCCCCATGTTGGTGAACCTATGTATAGAGCCACATAAAAAGGGATGGACAATGGGAACAAATGCCTGTGATTAGAAGAAAAGCTAAGTAGTTTTTATTAACAACACAAGAAACCAATCAGAAATATCTTTAAAAATTTGCGGTGGAAAAGAAGGAGGTAGGTATTTAACTAAATGTTAGTTAATTGGAATAACAATTAATACAAATCCTTACCAAAATCTTGGCCATTTTAATGTTATTGTTGTCTTTTGAAAACCACACAAGAACTGTGGGTAAATTTTGATGAACTCGTCTTATATAGGTGGTAGAGCAGTACGTGCGTTCCCAATCTGACCTCAATTGACATCTCATCTCGTTGAGAACTTGTGGGGCTAGTAGCGGTCAATTGAGGAAAATCCTCAGGTTTTTGAAATGGCCAGATATTGATCAAGAATGTTACGGATCTATCCGATACTTGATAGACTAAATAAGTACCTACATTGAAAAAAAAAATATACCAAATGAATTGAGAACCTCCTCCTTTTGTTGAAGTCGGTTAAAAAGATCAAGCGATTGATCGGGGCAACAGTGTTGCTATTTCATAGCACTTATGTCATAGATTGTGTTAAAAAACTAAGTACTAATAAAATAACAATTTAGTTACTTGCAACTTAAATAAGTCATAACAATGTCTTGAAGTATTTTACTGCTTTACAGCCTTATTTCAAACTAGCCGTATCTACCCGTGACTTCATACTCCTGTTTTTAAGTAACTTTTTCCGTTTTTGCAACATTTTTCATTGATGCTCTGCTCCTATTGATCGGAGCGTGATACCTATCTAAGTAGCCTTCCTGCGTGCGCGTTCAAAGAAACAAACATACTCTTCAACTTTGTTGTAAATATGGTTGTCAGCGTTGATTCTTATTACTCATAAATGATTATCGATAAGAATCTTTGTGTTTAATGATAGGAATAGAACCGTAGCCTTAGAAAATATAAAATATAGGTACTTATGTTACTCATATTGGTACAATAATTGATAGTACCTACCTATTGCAGACTTGCATCATCATCATCACATCACCCTAGGTTTGGAGTGGAGGTCACGAACCGGAAAATACAACATGGGACGTCCACCCCTAAGGTGGACCCACGACCTCATAAAGGTAGCAGGAAGGCGCTGGATGCAGGTCGCTACCAACCGGGTGATGTGGAAATCATTGGGGCCTATGTCCAACAGTGGACGTCCTGTGGCTGAAATGCTGATGATTATGACATTACCCTATAACCAGTCCACGAACATAGGCTTCCCCCAAAACGTGCCATTTCTATTTTACCCTATCTCTTGTTAGCTTCTAGCAGTAGGAATTTTTCATCAAAATTGGTTTTGGTAGTAGATGAAGTGTTTTCTACCTGAAAATTACTATTCTTCTGAAATACTATGAAAATTTCAGAAGTTTTGTAAATTATATGATTTTAATTTGTACTGTAACTATGCATGGATGTTCCTGAACCTATACCTACCAATAAATTTTTGTAAACAAAACAAAATGCTAAACTGGTTTTGTTGTTATGCAAATAACAATAATAAAAATTAACGTCCATCCAAACCTGATTTAAGGTTCCTTCGATATTTTTATATGCTTCAAAAATTTTATACCGTTACTGTTTCTTTTAATATTAATTCCTTTTTAATATCTATCTAATAGTAGTTGTATTAATTGTACCTTGCTATAAATATCATTTTAGCTATCTGATAAAATAAATAAATAAAATAAATCTTTGGACGATTACACATAGCACAACACACACACATAAAAAACAGTTAAGTGTGACTAGTGCATTAATTACGTACGCTATCACAAGAAAACGGTCCAAATTGCTTGGAAAATCAGCATTTCTTTCAGAAAAAAAGCTTATTAGTTCTTACAGGATCACTTCATTGGTTGTCTAGCGGTACCTACAACAAGACCCTTGAAAGGCTTGCTGGAGCCAATGAAAGGACCATTATACCTCCTAATGTACTTACTTACCAACTAACATCCTACTACTGAATCATTAGAAAGAATAGGTGAGTAAACTCTCAAATGGTAGTCCTCGCATAATCATCGTCATCATCATTATTTTCAGTCACAGGACGTCCACTGCTGTGCTGAACAATGATTTCCATATCGCGTACTTAGTTGGTAGCGGCCTGCAACCAGCGCCTCGGTCCACCTTGTGGGTGGACGCCCCACGCTGCGTTTTCTGATACGTGGCCTCCACTCCAGAACCTTGCTGCCCAATCGGCTATCAGTTCTGCGTACTATTTGCACTGCCCATTGCCTCTTCAGCTTGCTAATCCGTCGGGCTATGTCAGCAACTTTAGTTCGTTTACAGATCTCCTCATTTCTGATTCGATCATGTAAAGAAACACCGAGAATAAGCCTCGCATAATATGTACTTATTTTGCTTAAACTTCAGCATAAATCAGTAGTAAACTACTATGTACTAACTATAATATACGGAACTCTTTTCCATACCGAATACAGTGCGTAAAGAGCCAGGCATCGACACCTCGTAAGTTGATGTCACCTAGACTAGTTTTGTGGCGCCACCATGTTGCCAATGGGACTTACCCATAATCTGGATATTGGAAGTTTTCTTGAAAGCCATTTCTGTAATAACGTCATTAATTTAAGTAAACATATTTGATGAGTAATAGTAGGCGGTTTGGCAGCTGTAGATTACGCACAACCTCTGTCGTAAAACAGTTTTCGATAGGTATAGTATTCATACTTACGTCATATATCTACCTAATTACAATAAATAATTTTCCGTTAATGACTTCTACAAGTACTTGTGAATTATCCAAGTCCGCGTGGGATTGATATATTGACAATTATAATAAGTACAGTACAAAACACTATGTAAGAAAAAAATTGATTGAGGAAATATTTATTTCAATTTATATTCATTTATTCGTAACATGGCGGAAGAAGATGCAATAAAAATAACACTTTGAATCCAACATTTTATTTACAAACATACATTTAGACATATAAGTTATATAGTAAAGTAAGACTTAAAATGTTATTGTTTCTTAAAGTGACCTAACTCTACTTATTTAAAAGTAGTTAATTAAGTACAGGAAGGCGCTGGACGCAGGCCGCTACCAACCGCGCAACATGGAAAGCATTGGGGGAGGCCTATGTTCAGCAGTGGACGTCCTATGGCTGAGATGGTGATGATGATGATGAAGTACAACTGTTAGGTCCCTTTAATCAAGTTAGAATATAAACAGAACTAATAAAACTTAATAAATTATCTAAAATTACCAATAAGTTCAGCCTTTGCATAATGAATACAGAATTTTCATAGTTTTTCAGCCTTGTCTAGCAACCATGCTTCGTCGGTTGTTATTTTCGGGATTCACGTAGTATGGGTAGTAAGCGCCTACTTTTCTGTTGAACACCAAGTATGGAGGCATGTAGCTGTACTCCTTAGAAGACCAGCTCCTTCTATAAGTACTTCGTTTTGACTTCTTTGGATGTTTGGGTTTGTGAATGTTCTTAATTTTGGAAATATCTTGGTGTTTTGACGCCTGGTGGACAGCTGTGGTAGCAGGAACATTGTGATGTTTTTTCTTGGCCTCAGCGACAAGTATCGCGTTCAGTATTATGCATGCGAGGACGAGCTACAAAATAAGTATAAAATATTAGTCTAGCATACATAATACAGTTACTATCCTTTTTCTTAATATTTGACTTAAAAAGCCATTGATTCGTATTTAAATACAGTCATTTTCTCAATTGGTTTAGATGTTTTTAAAAATGAAAAAACATTCTGTTAAGAAATATAAACCTTGTTTTAATTTTATTCTTAACAGAATTGTAGGTTATACCTATGCAATTTGTAATAGCTTTTTAAGCTTTCGTTCGTACCACCCTGAGCACGAATAGCTGTCGTAACTCGTGATCATATTTTTTAATACAGCTATAGCGACATGTTTTTCATAAAAACATAACAAGAACGATATTTGTTTGTGCTTTGCGTACTGATACCGGTCACGTTTACTTATTCAAATGGTTAACTCACCCGCAAAATGTAGAGACGGACGTTGTTCATGTTCACAAACTCGCTCAGTCTCTAATGTAGAGCCTACTGAGGCCAAATCTGCACACAAGTTGCAATTTTCTATGGGCAAGTAAACCATTTTTGAACTTGATTTTCGTATTTATAGTGATAGTTCGTGAGAAATGACCTACTAGAAAATAAGTCTCTTGAACAAAATATCCTTGGAGTAGCTTTATACGTTTTATCTCAAAATTTTAAATAATTCTGTAGAAAAAACAAAAAGCAACGTGATGACGTGATCTATTCAAAATAAAAAATAATAATTGTTAGTAGATTTTTATATCGGGCATAATTGCTGGCATCGATTTGTATAAATAATAGGACGTGTTTTTGATCCACTAAGATCTTAATGCTTGTTATTTATTGTCAAAAAAACACGCTGTATCAAAATATTTTTGGTTGGGCTGGTAATCATAGATTTGAATTATTATTACGAGTGCTATTCTCGTAGTAAGATAGATAAATAAGTATCAGGTAGAGTTAGTGACACAGACAATCTATGTGCTTAAAATGTAGAGTTAGAATGACTAAACTTCTCTAATTTAATTTGGCTCAATATCTAGTCTTACATGAACAATCGAAATTTTATATCTTAGGTTCTTCCATGTCTTTATTTAATAAAAAAAACATCTACAAAACAACTCTACATATTCCTTGTCATAGAGTGTCAACATTTGATTAGCGGGGTATTGCGAGCACACTCAGTTACACTAACACGGTCATACAGTCATTGGTCATACTTTCATCTTGAACGGCACTAGAATATACTCGTACTTATACTTGGTTTTCGTTGAAAATTTACTATGATTTTAGGCTAGTATGCAATGTCTAAAGGTGCACACCTCGATATTGTCGAAATAGAAGAGGGAGCCGTAGTACCTAGATACATTTCCTTCCTGAATACACAAAGAAACAATCAAATCCAGCATGTAACAATGTAGCATGTGTACTCATAAAGCTTATTTTGTTTTTTCAGGAAGGCTTTTACACGTCCCAGTACTATCTACCCGACCACTGCTTCAGGACAATAAACGGGCCAGTACTAAGAAGCAGCGCAAAAAACTCAGTCACAATAATTGTCAATATTAGGGACCAGGAAAAAATATTGATAACCATTAAACAGTTCTTGGTATTCTTAAAAGTCAGATAACTATCGTTTATCTCAGTAGGTATATTTTTCTTCTTAATTGTCGCAAACATTAAAAAAATATCATCTCACCGTTATTAATGTTTAAAGTAATGAAAGAGTCCCATTCATTCATAATTTGTTTATTTTTTGTTTTGTGCGTAAATTGCTTCAATTATGTAGGTACCTAACTGTTACAAAATTATGACACACGATGGGACTGTTTGTAATTACGAGTATATCGGCAGGTTTCGGTAATTACGCAGTTTCATTAATAAACCTGTATAATACGATCGTAGCACTTGTAATTATTGTGCTGTCAATTTCTTTTGACGCGTAATTGATTTACGATAGAGTTCAAAATAATAGTTTGATTTGGTATTTTAAGCAGATATTTTGTAGCAATTTGGTAAAGACAAGTTACTGTTGCAACAGTACTTTTATAAAAGAGCGCCCTTCACCTTGAAGGGCACTCAGTGCAAAATGGAGCTCAAGTTGGTGATATTGTCGGTAAGTTAAAACCTATGGGCTTTTTAAGGCATTCATTTTATACTTACACCTAGATACTTACTTAAAAACTGGTTTAGGAATGAGTGAGGTCAGGATTTTACGATTTATTATAGGTACTATTAAGTGTATAATATTATTATTATTAAACTATATTTGTTCCACCTGGATATCGAACCCTGAATCTTTGAGTTGAGAGAATCCAACTCTCTAACGACAACGGTAATTATCAATACGAATATGTATCATCCTTTCAAACTAACTTCATAACGCCTACTGTTACCTTTATAGCACTTGTCTACAGTAAAATAATGTCTACACTAGAGGTTAAGCGCCCACCTACGTTCACCTATAATGTGATTGCAGTAAGAGTGTTTGCCTATACGTTAACATCAGTTTTAACACTCATAGTATGTTGGTTAAAATATGGAATTTTTATAAAATTATAAGTAGTTGGTAACTACGCTAAATTAATTCAGATTTCAGTGATACCTATTATTTTTGCTTATTTTCTTTAGCTGATCAAATTATAAATACTTAGCTTTTTACTAACGTCGTTTTTACTGTTCCAGCTAGCATGCTTGTCGTGCCTCGTCCCGCCCGCCCATGGCTCAGCGTTGCTCGCTAAGGCGGCGGCGGTGAAGGGCGTCGGCCTGTTGGGCGCTGGAGCACTGGCTGCTAAGGGACTCGCCGTTAAAGGTAGGCAAAGGCAATACTCGTATCTGCCCCCAAATGCCAAGGGCCAGTTGGTAACTGTTGTTGTGAGATGGAAGCCGACAAAAATGAAGAATGAAATTAAGAAGACTCTTAAAACTTTATACCAAGCTCAGCACGCGCTATAATTGCACCGCAAAAGTAGTCCTTTTACGTAGGATAGACCGCTTACGAAAACCACATTCTTCAATCTCTTAACTCTAACACAACATTTTTATTACCTTATGTACACTTAAGTCTTTATTCGTCTCTTGATTTATGATTAGTACCTATTAGATTTACGTGGAAGAAAAGTTGAATATCATCAACAAATTGATGTCTTCCTTCAGGAGCCGTAGCGCTGGGTGCCAAGGCCGTCGCTTCGAAGGTGCTGGCTGCCAAGGCTGGTGTGGGCGCCGCTGTAGTCGCTGCCACTCCTGTTAAGGTACATCAAATAGGCAATTTGGCTGTTTTCTAAAAGCTTCTGATATTATATATGGTTTTTATCAAGAACTTAAAATACTAATTACCAAAATTGCTACCAAATACATTGGCATAGAAAGTTAATTATAATTAAAATACGATCTTGAGCATTATGGTATTTTACTGGCATGTTATGCAAGATGAGTCATGTAAATGACTCTTCATTCTTCGTCTGTATTCACAAACATTACTATGAGGTCTCACAGTGCGCGTGAACGCACAGGGTGATACACGAACCAATCACAGAGCTCTATCCAACGCTGTGCGTTCGATTTGCTGCGTCACTTAAGCAAACATCGTTTGTGAATACGGGCGTCTTTAAATACTTTATCGTGTCGATTTTTATAATTAAAACCAATTTTATTTTTATTCAGGTTCCAGAAAGCACGGTAGTCGTAAGCCCGCCCAGTCTCTCAGCAATCAAAGGTAGAGTGCTAGGTCTCCTCGGCGCCGTCCACGCTGCTGCTGTGAACAAAAGCGCCGCTGTCGGCCAGCTTCTGCTGTCACTGCTGCCCACGAAGACCGTCGTCCAGCCCCCTAAAGTTGTCGAGGTCCCCACAATCGTCGAAGTCCCAACTGTCGTGGAGGTCCCGAAAGTCGTGGAAGTCGAGAAAGTAGTTGAGGTCCCCACAGTCGTGGAGGTCCCTAAATACGTCGAGGTCCCGAAATATGTGGAAGTCCCTAAATACGTGGTGCCGCCACGTCCTAAAGTAGTCCCTTGCCCTCCCTCTGTAGCGGTTATAGGGCCCACCATGGAAGTAGTTTATAACTGAGATTCAAAAGCGTTAGGTTCTTTTAAAGTTGGTGTTAGGCCACTCTAGTCATTCAGAACCAAAATAATGTAATGTACTAAAACAAGCGTAATTTAAATGTAATATTTATTAACTTATTACACGCCAATAGACTTCAACAACCTTGGACATGAGTTTTAATGAACATCTCATTTTGTTTCTGTTTCAATGTATAGACAGGATTGCTAATTTCTATTGGCTTGGAATGTAATGTCATTATGATAATAAAATATCATACAAAAAATACCTCAGTTTTATTTGAAGTGGAAGTTGTGAGAGCAAAACCAGGTGACACTGTTAGTTTTATAAGAGTAAAGAAACAAAAACATATCACTTTCTTGGATATTTTCGGTGGATTTTCCCATGGGTTTGCCTAACACTGATTTAAGATGAAGATAGTCATTTTCGTCGACGTAAAAAGATACGTAAGAACAAGATACTAAAATCATTTTGAAAGAGTATCACTAATTTATGCAACATCCAACACATTTTCGCTTGCAATAATATCGATGATGAAAATAAATGATTGATTGATGATTAGATTTAAATCATCATTATTCAAATTTAGAAATTTCACAAGTTGACACTTTGACTTTTGAAAAATATTTCTGGAAGTTAAACTACTGCTTAATGATGACTAATACATACAGTACTGTAAATCTTAAGTGGTGCTGAATAGAGTTAAAAGGTGTTAAAAGTAAGTATGTGCAGGCGCATGTGCACCCTTTGCACGATAAACAAGGTTTATATGAACGTGGGCGGTAATGAGCACGATTTACACAAACACTTAGTAGCCCATAATGAAGACACTTTTCGATGGTTCTTGATTGTGGCATTACTTGCGTTGGCATTAATCAACACAAATTGATAGCAATTTGTAAAATCGATTACCCAATAGGTGAATACCAATGACACGCAATGTGCAACTAAGTCGAGTTTTCGCTCTATAATTTTTTGTTCCCGACGGTACGTAACGTGGAGTCGTTTGACATGCAGTTTTTGGGCAAAGAAGCGGTCAAGTAGGCCGACGCACCGAGCGTGGACGCGATTTATTAAGCGCCAGCAATACGAGTTACCGTCTGACAGCTCTCTTGTAACATGCAAATCGGTTGCGTTCGCAAAGGAACCTATTATGCAGATTACCGATTAAAGAATCGATTTGTACCGCTCGCTGGAGCGCTTCCTGTCATCACAATTGAACCTTCAATTACAGGCGGATATGAGCATACGTAATAAGGGCCTTACGGAAACTTCGCCCGTTCTTGAATCAGCTTCCACTGGTCCGGGCTGCAATGGACAACGAGCGCTGATTTCTCGCGACCGCAGCCGCAAGGGATGTGCGCGCATCCGACATGGTCTGATATCTCTTGCAAGCGTTTGTTCGATTGCAACCCGCGCTTGCCGACGATTAGTTTTTACTGGACAACCTAATGATATTCAAATAGGGCGGCATCGGCCGGCTGTTTAGCATTGTTAATGTGATGTTAATAATTTTCGTGGGGGTATAAAAGTGCAAGCATTTTTGTGTAATGGAACATAATTGCAACGCACTGCGTGATTTAGTGTCGTATTGCAGCGAGCATTAAAACATAAATTTAGCTATGTCTCGACTTACGGTAAGATGTGATGGGACAACATAAGTGCAATGGTGTGATTTAAAAGTTTTACAAATAAAAATGTCAACTTATGATATTTACTATTTCAGATCTTATTTGTCATCGCAGTAGCGTATGAGGTAGTTGGAGAAGGTAATTATTGAAAATATATACAGTTATAAAAATATATTTAACAAGTTAATTGACTAAGAGAATAATAACATTTTTTTTGTCGCAACAGGAGTTGCAAAGGAAAAGGCCGCAGACTCTCAACCAGAACAATCTGGATACTATGGCACCGCTCTAGGCGCCGGCCACGGAATTGGCCTCGCTGGGGCAGCCATCGCTGGCGGTGCCGGCCTCATCGCTGGCGGTCCTGGTATCATCGCCGCCGGCCCCGCCGTCATTGCCGGTCCTGGTCTCGTCGCCGGTCCCGGTCTCGTCGCCGGTCCCGCTCTCGTCGCCGGCCCCGCCATCGGAAGCGGAGCCGCCCTCAACAACGCCGGCTCCGTCGGTGCCGCCCAGCTTAGTGCCATCCAGAACGCCCAGGCCGTCCAAGCCGCTCAGATCGCCAACTCCGCCGCCGCCGCCATCCAGGGTGCCCGTGTGACCGAGGCCGCCGCGAGGGCCGGACAGGCTAACGCCATCACCAACGCCCAGGCTCTCGACGCCGCCCGCGTCGCCAACATCCAGAGAGCTCAGGCCGCGGCCTGGGAGAACGCGAGGGCCATCGAAGCCGCGAGACGCGCCGCCGCCGCCAGCGCCGCCGAGGTCGCCCGCGCCGTGGAGGCCGAGCGCCTGGCGCACGCCGCCCGAGTGCAGGCCGTCGCCATCGCCAACACCCGCGCTGTTGAGGCCTCCCGCATCGCCAACGCCGCGAGAGCGCAGGCCGCTGCTGTCGCATCCAGCGCCGCCCAGGCTCAGGCTGTGGCTGACTCCGTCGCCAGGACCGCGCACGACGCCGGCGGCCTGCTGCTCGGCGGCGGCCCCGGCCTAGTCGCGGTCGGCGGCCCCGGCCTGGTCACCGTCGGCGGCCTCGGCGGCATCGCCGGCGTCGGCCTGGGTTACGGCGCCGGAGTCGGCTACGGACACGGCTACGGCTACGGCATCGGCATCGGCAAACACTAAACGACAAATTATTTATACCGACTCCAGTGAACTCTCCATAGTCAATACAACCAAAATTCTACATCCATTTCGTTCTTTACACAGAAATGGTTAGCGGCATTCAGTAGATTTGGTCAGGTGATGTAAATATTATTTTCCAAAATTACGATAGTCTATGTCTTGTTATAATAAAACGTAGCATATCACTGAACTGTTTTTTATTTCTAATTATATTTAATGAGGAAAAATAACAAACAAAAGCTTCGATAGAATAGGTACTTACTTACAGTTAGTTGTATTACAAATTAAATTGATTACGAGTATTTGAAATGTAATACAACATCTAATTATAATGTTTTATTACAATGATAAAACATGATCATAAGTCATAACTATGATCAAGTGCCGAAGTAGGTACCTATTTTGTTGAATTAAATTAAACTAATTGGAAGTATTATTGAAACGTAATGTAACTTTCATATGTACGAGTATATTTGAGGTGTGATCAGTCAGTCCATACTGGACTACCTGGAACAGTCTAGAAGAAAATTTTCAGAATCGGTCAAATCTGAAAATTTTAACAAAATCGGGTTTTCAGTTTCCAAAACATTAATCCATTGTCAGTGTCGTTTATCAATAGCATCTAAAAAACCCCATTACTCATAAATCTAACGCCGAAACAGAACGTTGACGCGTGATCATCGCACTCGAGATAATTATCAACTCCACGGATCATTTGCATCGCGTCAACACGATAAATACATAATTCATGATAACTCATATAATATAGTAACGCGGCTTTGTATGTTGCTTGGGTATTTTTCATGAATTCGGTAATGATTGTTTAAAAAATATCAATCAAACCATAGGAAATTATTAACACCAATGGGAACACTCCCACCCTGTGCCCTACCTGTCTGATTTTCTCATAGAATATCTCATAGAAAAAAGCAAAGTTAAGAGACAACAATGTAGGTACAAAATACTTTGTTTATTAAAGTTTAAATTAAAAAACTAAAGCGAACGCTCGGGACTTCGTTTGGGTTAAGCTTTTTCTTCAGCCAACTTAACTTTTGCTGTAAGATTAAAATGGATTTCATCACATTTATATAGTTAATTATTAATTAAGATAAAAGTTACGTTAATGAAACATTGTTATATAATTTTGTGATAAACTTACGGACAAAAGTTGGTAACTATATTTTAGTAGAGACACCAATACAACTGTTTCATATTTATAAACAAAAGCCGGTGGGGTCAAGCGTTCGAATTCTGGAGATAACAAATCGTATATAAAGGTTTGTAGCATTATCTTGTTACAAAAACAAACAGACAGTGTGTGTAAAAGTATTATTTACTCCAGAACTAGACATGGCATTTAAGGTGAGTTCCCATTCCTAATATACCTTATTGATTCAGTAAAATTAACTTTAGTGCTGATTTGCACCAACTTACTTTAACCGTAACTATAATAATAACCGTTGCTTTTTATGAGGTTGACAGTTTTTGACATTTGTTAAAGTTAAAGTAAGATGATGCAACACTGCTTAGGTTAAAGCTTTAATTAATTAAGACTTTAAGACTTAATTAAATTAAACTTAATTGGCCTACTTACTTACAGTACTTAGTTTTGCAATTGTTGTACTCTTTATTTATAAAAGGGATACCTAAGTTTAAGAAATGTAAAGTTTTATCGCACTTCCATTTATTTATTTATTTGTAGAGCAGAGAGTACCTAATCTTAAATTGTTTATTTATTTAATTTAAGCTACATTTATCAATTTGGTAAAAAAGATAGTAAGGATTGTGTCAGTATCCTAAAAATAGTTTCAGGAAGAACTCCATCCATCCATATTTCCCTGGTAATCCTCACAGTTTTTGAGGGTCGAACGAAATCCTTGTGAGCAAATCCGAAGGCAAGCCTAAGTGGATAAGACTCCGTGGAAAATTATTTAGTAATTATTTATTTAGTCCACAACAATAAATTATGTCATCGACGTTTATTTACTACCAGAGGTTATCGCTGTTTAATAATAAAATAATAATATGTCTGTCTTACATTCAGTTGGTACCTATTTCATTTGTAAAGAGATTTTGACCAAGAAACTTCTTTCTCTTTGCTCTTTTGTTTCACGGAGAGAAATATTTATAAACCTTATTATTTATATTAAGCCAATATTTAAGTGAACACTATTTAACAGTTTTTAATTTTTCAGATTGCTTGTGTACTGTTGACGTTGGCTGTCGCCTGCTACGGTAAGTTTTTAACTTTTTATCCTAATACTTATCTAACCTTGATCTTTTACCTACAATTTACACATTATTTACTTTACTATAATAAAACTCTTTACAAAGAATCCAGTTTTGTTTATAAGTAGCAAGATAATATCGATTTAGATTTTTTAAATAATAGGTACCTACATCAAACCTTGTTAATACCACAAAAAGTCTGAAAACGAAATCGTACAGTTAAAAACGAAACAAGTAGTGAAGGTTATAAAACCTTAGTATTTTAAACTTCATTTTTTTTTTACCAGGCATGCCTCACTACGGCGGTGGCCCCGGTAACGGCGGCTACAACCAGGGAGGCCAGGGTGGATTCGGACAAGGACAGGGTGGATTCGGTCAAGGAGGACACAGCGGACAAGGTGGATTCGGTCAGGGAGGACACAGCGGACAAAGTGGATTCGGTGGTCCTCAGGGCGGCTTCGGTGGTCCTCAGGGCGGCTTCGGTGGCCCTGGATCACAAGGTGGCCACGGACAGGGAGGATTCGGTCAGGGTGGTCACGGGCAACAAGGATTCGGTCAGGGTGGTTTCGGTCACCAATCTGAGCAAGGATACGGCCAGGGTGGTCACGGACAACAAGGTTTCGGTCAGGGTGGTCACGGACAACAGGGCTTTGGTCAGGGCGGTCACGGACAACAGGGCTTCGGCCAGGGAGGTCACGGACAACACCATGGAGGCTACCAGGAACACGGCTACTAATTTGGGACTATCGAACAATTGTATTATCGAGATGTGTTGATCGACTGAACTAAAAATGATTTTTAAATAAATGTATAATCACAATAACTTTCATTGTTTTTATTTCGTAGGTAAATGAGTAAAATATAAGCAATAATGGAGAGTTAGTATAACTTATCAAACCTTATTCATAAAAAGCTGGAACTTCAGATCATTCCCTTCTATGATAGAATCTGAGGCTGGAACAGTTTAAATTAGCACACCTAAATTAACGTAAAAACTCATTTGTATCATAATTAACTATCCATTCCTATCCTGGGTTCAATTTCCAGGTATTGCACAAAATTGAAAATCAGTTTTGTGTAGGTAGGTATTCCTACTTTTTTAGGCTTGAATCGTTCTTCAATAAATATTAAGAAACACAAAGTGATTTTCCAATATTCCATGCTTCAGAGGGCACTACTTAACACGAATCGAAGAATTAGTAATGATTATAATGATTAATTGTTTAATCATCATTATGCGTTTCTTGTAATTGTAACTAATGTGGGAGAGCACCACAATACATGCGCGACGGATGCGCGTGGGCAATCGTGCGCAATCGTCAGCCTAATTGGATTCCTGTTAGTAGTGTGTTATTATCTCATTTGCCACACGCATGTATCCTGTCGCCAGGTATATAAAGTGTATCACAGGTTACTTAAGCTACTATCTGTTGTCCTTCTTCTACTATAATTTTAAAGGTTAGCGCAATTTCATTCTCAAACCCTGTCCTGTTATCCCAAGGATTAAAATGGCACGATTTGTGGTAAGTAAAGATCTAATTACTTAGGTAGTTTAGAACGTCTGAAGTTGTAGACATCGTTTTTCACTGAGTTTTCATTCAGGGAAATCTTTTTCATACAGTGACAATCAAATATTTCAAAAAGGGGTATGCTAGTCCTGTTTTGAGGTTTTTATCTTGAGCGTGTTCATTTTCTACTTAGGTATGAAATTAAAGCTTATGCGTGCTTATTTTCTACTTAAGGAGATGAACTTATGGCATTTGCCATAGTTTTATTCAATAGATCTTTTTCATGATTTGCGTTAGCTACGACAAATATCGTTAGTCATGAAACTCGATCATTTACTTAAAATTTTCCACTATCCACGAATTTCAGGTTTTCCTCACATTCGCCGTGTTACTCCTGGTCACCATTTCAACAGCTGCTGAAGATTCCAAGCCACAGGGTGATAGCGCACCTACAGAACAGAAAAAAGATTTGTTCGCCACCGTCGCACCTTCCAAAGATGGTTCAACCACCTCTGATGGCCCGAAGACTAGCAATAACACTTCTAGTGCGAGCACCGATGACGTGTAGTGCCTTGTTTACCAAGTTATTACGTCATCTAGTACCTAATAATAATGTTTACCAAGCTAAAAGTAAATGGACAAAGTGTTTACTGGTTGAACATTCTAAGGCTGGCTGGGTTAGGCCTCAGCCTCGAACTTAGCGGGCAGCGGCGCGGGAGCGGCGGCGGGGCGGGAGCGGCGGCGGGCGGGAGCGGCAGGATCTTATGCGTAAAATCAAATAGACCGGTTCTCGAAAACAGCGGCGCGGCAGCGGCGGCGCCGGAGCGGGCAACGAGCGGGTAGCGGCGAGGGAGCGGGCAACGAGCGGGCAGCGCACTCCTTCTTTTGCCCACAATAAATCGAGCGTAAGGAATAAATTTGAATCGAAATAAAATTGTCGCCGTTGTTCAGACATTTCGTTCGCGAATAAAAACAAATATCTCGACAACACATCCCCGAACACAACACTTCGCCGCTAAAGCGCCGCGCGAGCTGCCCGCTGGTTTCGAGAACGGGTCTGCGTTGCCCGCCCCGCTCCCGCGCCGCCGCCGCCGCCGCCCCGCTGCCCGCTAAGTTCGAGGCTGAGGCCTTACACCATCTTACTTTAAATATAACAAACGTTAATAGTCTTTCAAACTCCATACAAAATTCACCGGTTGAGATTACAGTCACTATTAAAGTAAAATGATGCAACTCAGCCTAAGATGGACGTCTGTAACTTTCATTTGTTTGTTTTATAGATAAATTGTGAGAACAAATAAATACTTCCTTGTCACTTTAATCTCCACCAAATAAAGAAGTTGCTGATATTTAATTGATTAGAAACCCTTTTTGATGTTTAATTAACTTTATTATTTTATGATTTAGCATACGAGTGCATTGAAAGTATTATTTATTTTAATCTGGATAAGAATTTCATTCTATACTACTGTCAAAAAGATCCCATCAAAAACAATACTTGTCAAAAAAACCAAGTCTCGCAACTCAGTTGTTCTACGGTAAAAAGTTGTGAGATCCATGTAATACCAAGTCCAGGCCAGGAAATCTTTAACGTTTTACATAAATATTTGACTTGGCCATCGCACTAAATAATTTAATTTACACGTGTTTTCATGCGATGGCCAAGTCAATATATTTATGTAAAACGTTAAAGATTTCCTGGCCTGGACTTGGTATTACATGGATCTCACAACTTTTTACCGTAGAACAACTGAGTTGCGAGACTTGGTTTTTTTGACAAGTATTGTTTTTGATGGGATCTCATTTCTTTTTGTATTTTGTAGACAGCAGTTATGTATCTAGAAAACTGGACCGAAATTGAAAAATTTTACTCGACTTGGCGGTTGCACTACCGTGCCCCCAAATCTCATTTCTTTTTGTATTTTGTAGACAGCAGTTATGTATCTAGAAAACTGGACCGAAATTGAAAAATTTTACTCGACTTGGCGGTTGCACTACCGTGCCCCCAAATATTTTAGTTTTTCCTTGATTCATACACCAAACACTACTTATATTCCAAATTTGAAGCTTCTAGGTCTGCTAGAAGTGCCTTAGAGTTTTGATGATCGGTGAGTCAGTGAGTGAGTCAGTGAGTCAGTGAGTCAGTCAGTGAGTGACAAAATTAAGTAACTTTGACCCGTTATAATTCTTAAACTACTGGTTCAAATTGAATGAAATTTTAAATATACCGTGTCTTTACAATGCCTGCATAGCTAATGAAAATTCAGCCTTCTAGTTTTATCCACAACGAAGTTACAGGCGGTCGAAAATGGCCTGAATTGTTTCGAGAAAAGGATGGTACGGCCGTGCCGCTTTTTTGCTCGACTTGGTGGGGGCACTGCCGTGCCCCCAGATAGAGTCAATCATCTTCAAACAAATTGAAGTTTTATCTGAGGTGAACTGAACTATACCTAATCCCTAAAACAAAATGAAAGCATTTTTATTGGAATCCAACCTAGAACAATACCTATTTGTAATAAGCATCTCTCATCGAGTATCATCTAAAATTCTAAACGGATTAGGAATACTTAATAAGATACTTGAAAAGAGACTCTGACATAAATGTGTGGAGAGCCTAAAATAAGGCCTGTAATACCCTGTATTTCAGGACTCTAACGCCCGTATTCTCAAACATTACTATGAGGTCTCATAGTGTGCGTGGACGCACAGGCACAGGGTCACACACGAACCAATCACAGAGCTCTATTCAATGCTGTGCATTCGATTTCCTACTTCACTTAAGCAAGTATCGTTTGTGAATACGGGTGTAAGTCCCACCACCCGCATAAGTAGTTACTTACCATTAGCTATTTACATAAGTAACTACATAAATAATTTGTAGCTCGGACCACTGTTTGATTGATTACCTACCTACATGTTTTGGCTTGTTATCTTCCAGTGCGATAAACGTGACCCATATTGTAGTTTATGTTTAGGGTCATATGACACAATTTTATAATAGTTAGAATTATAAGCAAGGCCTTCTGAAGTTGATATTAATTTCATCCGGGTCGTAAACAATTGAATAAGTAACTGTATCTTAATAGATAATGTAGAGGGGTCATTCCACCGGCCAAGAAAATCACGTGTCCGGGGCCAAAAAGTACCCGAATATCATAAAATTTTAGTAACAAATATTTTTATCTAATAGTATAACTTTGGTTCTTGTTGTTAAACCACAGAAATAGTTAATAATAGTTAATTAAGTAATTTAAAAAAAATCGTAAGTCGTCAAAAATTGATTACCACGACGTGTCCGCGCTCCCGATTTCAGAACAAATTTGCTCGTATAAATTAATCCGTTATTATTACCGCTTTAAATGCTTATGTAATCGATTACTGATTAAATAAACATTGATAAATTAAATACGATATAACTATATGACTAAAAGGTTTTGTAAAATAACTATTTGAAGTTGTGTCCGGGCGTTAACCGTGATTACCCCGACACGTCACTAATGTGCGCCTACGTCCCTAGCTACGCAATTTAGAAACGAGCTCTATCCTCCCCCGTGAACCTTTAGTGGTGGCCTGCGTGCCGAGGTGATCGGTAATGCAACTCGTCGCAGGATTTCGGAGTTATCGAGATAAGAATATGATTACCCCGACCTTGGTTCAGTGCACGATTGATTTACTCTATCCTGTTTTTTTAGGTTTCTTTACATGGAAAGTTCTTGAGAATGTACAGGAATAATGGTCCATGTAACCGCATTTTTGTGTATTAAAACATATGGGATTCAACTTACAGATTGGGCAGGGCTCAGGATAAACCTTAATTTTTTGACTACCCCGACCTTGATTACCCCGACTTTTGTCACCGAGTAATCAANAAAGCGGTAATAATAACGGATAAATTTATACGAGCAAATTTGTTCTGAAATCGGGAGCGCGGACACGTCGTGGTAATCAATTTTTGACGACTTACGATTTTTTTTAAATTACTTAATTAACTATTATTAACTATTTCTGTGGTTTAACAACAAGAACCAAAGTTATACTATTAGATAAAAATATTTGTTACTAAAATTTTATGATATTCGGGTACTTTTTGGCCCCGGACACGTGATTTTCTTGGCCGGTGGAATGACCCTATTATCTTATTTGCCACACGCATGTATCCTGTCGCCAGGTATATAAAGTGTATCATAGTTTACTTGAGCTACTACTATCCTTCTTCTGCTATAATTTTAAAGGTTAGCGCAAATTCGTTCTTATTCCCTGTCCTGTTAACTTGGATTAAAATGGCACGATTTTCGGTAAGTAAAGTTCTAATTACGGTTTATTTAATTAAGTAGGTAACTACGAGTAGTACAGAACGTAAGAAGTTGTAGACATCGTTTTTCACTGAGTTTCCATTCAGGAAAATAATTTTCATGCAGTGACATCATATTATACAGTGCTTGCACAATTTAATTAAATCATGTTATGTCGTTCTGTTCTGTAACTATGTGTTCTGAATTAAGATTTTTGCTTACAGTGTACCTGATATTTTACGACACGAAACTTTGAATAAATAATAATCTACATTATAGTGTCTTCTATAGATTATTATTTATTCAAAGTTTATGTTGTAAAATATCTTCGAAACATTTCATCGAAATAAAATCTTGCAGTCGAGAGTCTGCTTTAAAACTGGATCACAGAATCGTAGAATCTGTGGATACCGATCAATTCACAGTTCAGTTACTTTTTCATACAGTTAATTTTTCTTTTTTGGTTCCTTCTCTCTTTTTTAAGATTTTTGCAGATTGCGATTAGCTACAACAGATTTCGTTATTCATGAAAATAGGTAGATTTCGATTATTGACTTAAAATTTTCCACTATCTACGAATTTCAGGTTTTCCTCACATTCGCCGTGTTACTCCTGGTCACCATTTCAACAGCTACTGAAGATCCCACGCCACAGGGTGATAGCGCACCCACAGAACAGAAAAAGGATCTGTTCGCCACCGTCGCACCTTACAAAGATGGTTCAACCACCTCTGATGGCCCGAAGACTAGCAATAACACTTCTAGTGCGAGCACCGATGACGTGTAGTGCCTTGTTTACCAAGTTATTACGTCATCTAGTATCTAATAATAATGTTTACCAAGCTAAAAGCAAATGGACAAAGTGTTTACTGGTTGAACATCTGGGTTACACCATCTTACTTTAAATATAACAAACGTTAATAGTCTTTCAAACTCCATACAAAATTCACCGGTTGAGATTACAGTCACTATTAAATTAAAATGATGCTACTTAGCCTAAGATGGACTTCTGTAACTTTCATTTGTTTGTTTTATACATAATACGAGTAAATACTTCATTGTCACTTCAATATCCAATAAACAAAGAAGTTAATGATAATTTCCTGATAAAAACGCTTTTTGTTCATACATTTAATTCATTTTATTGTTTTAAGATCTAGGATTGGTACGAGTGCTTTGAAAGTAACCTACCGATTATTATTTATTTTAATTTGGATAAGAATTTCATTCTATACTACTCTCAATAAGATAGAGTCAATAATCTTCAAACAAATTGAAGTTTTATCTGAAGTATACCTAAGATGCTTTCATTTTGAATTAGGGATTAGCCCTAATTCAAAATGAAAGCATTTTTTATTGGAATCCAACCTGGAGACAATATTTGTGATAAGTATCTCTGTATCTCTTATAGAGTACTATCATCAAAACGGGTTAGGAATACTTATTAAGATACTCCAGAGAAAACTGAAAGATACTGACAATCCTGTATTTCAGGACTCTAATCCCTAATTTTTAAGTTACCCCTATGGTAACTTGGTAACACGTAACAGGAATTTTGTTTTCATAGGGGTCACTTAAAATTAGGGATTGATGGTGAGAACGAGCATACTCACCCGCCTAAGTAGTTACTTACCATTAGCTATTAACATAAGTAACTACGTAAGATAATTTGTAGCTCGGACCACTGAATAGATATTCTAGAAGTGATTGATTACCTCCATGTTTTGGTCTTGTTATCGTCCAGTGCGATAAACGTGAGCCATATTGTAGTTTATGTTTAGGGTCATATGTCACAATTTTATAATAGTTAGAATTATAAGCAAGGCCTTCTGAAGTTGATATTAATTTCATCCGGGTCGTAAACAATTGATTAAGTAACTCTATGTTAATAGATAATGTAGAGGTACCTACATAAGTTACGTAGATGTCAATTATAACTGAAGCTTTTAATGTGCAAAATAGGACTGAAGCTTTTAATTTGATCTTGAAAACATCTTGACATCTTTCAGTTATTTTACTAACTTTTTAAATATTTTGTTTCTAATAAAATAATTGAAGTATTTGTGTGTTTATTATTGAAATCAGTCCAGTGGTTTAAAACATGTTTGACGAGTCAACTCTCAACTTGCAAACGTTTACTGAAAAGTCTGAGTTAAGCTGGCGCTGCTAAAGGTACCTTCAATGTAATGAGAAAAAAACACAATTTGGAGCTCCATTTATTTGCTTCAACTACATAAATAATATTAATCAAGCTTTGGTCGGTTGCATCTTCAGATTTTTCAGTTTTCAGTAGTTAGTTAATTCCCTCCAAGGTCTTGGAGTCCTTTGGCGTCGGGCAGTTTAGGGACGTCGGGCAGTTTGGGCGCGTCTGGCACTTTGGGCAGCTCACTGGGCGGCTTGATGCCTCCGGGGAGGTCCAGGCTCACCACCGCTGACGCCAGCATCAGTAAGCAGACGAAGATCTACAAACAGATTGTAAGTCAATGAACAGTTTAACCACCTCATGACCTAGTGGTAAACACCTCTGTGGCCTAGTGGTAAACACTTTTGTGACCTAGTGGTAACCATTTCTGTGGCCTAGTGGTAACCACCTGTTTCAGTCCCAGAGGTTCTGGGTTCGATTGGATTGGATTGGAATGGAAAGTGAGGGTAGTTTTATGTCCGCCTGACTAGCTACAACCATCTTACCTAAGTCTGTTGCCATAACAACAATGTATAGCATTGTTGTGTTCTGACAGTTATGTTAGTGTGGTTGAGGATTCCGGGTGAAGTTCGCTTCCACCGTAAACCTGATCATCACTTTCATAAGGTGATAAGCAGGTCAAGAGATTCCACATAATGTGTAAAAAATTAAGGATGATCCAAAGTAACAGATGAAGAGTAATATGACATTCAATAAGGATAGTTTTCCTCATCGGTGCTCGCAAGACAATTGCAAATGTCATTGTTGGTAAGTAAAAGACAATAATACCTATTCATTAAAATAGTAGAAACTGATTTTTCTTATTCTAATGAATAGTTCTACAAGTAGGTAATATTGTTTTTCTATGGGTGTCTTTAATTTGGCTGTAGGTGACTTGGATGTGGGTTCTGGATATCTCATTGTTACATTAATTTATTTAATTTCCAGAGTAGGTCCTCAACTATCAACTATCACGATTGCCAAGTAGTCAGTCTACTTCAAGACAATCATCGAATATTTTGCGTTTGATATGTTACAAAATATAGTGACAATAGTTAGTAAAAAGTTTGACCTAAGTTTATTGGAAGCCTATCGTAAGTAAGATCAAAAATAAATAGTTAAACTCGTAGCAAAGGTAAATCAAAACCATTTCTGGTAACAGTTTTCCATAAAATCGGTTTTTTGTAACGCCGAATAAATTTTACGAGACATACATGGATCGATGGATCTGTGCGCCTTAGTTTATGTTGTGTTTGAAGTAACTCAAAAATAAAAAGAGAAATGATAAAAACTCACCACAACCCGAGACATCTTGGAGATTTGCTGATAAAGAACTAGTGGCTAGCACTTCGCAGCACACTTCTTATACCCATCCATTACCCATGCATTTTCCAGGAGACATTAATTAATACACAATAAGAACAGTAATTAGCACAAAAACAATGCAATTGCTTCGACAAATAGTGGTTCATGTAGGAACATGGTTATTACGTATAATTAAATGAAGATAGATTCATGTAAAAAATAAATAACGTAAAGTAATGAAATGTAACTATCCAACTTTGTTGGGACTTCATGTCGATGTGTTTTTAACAAACTCATTTCGTAAATGTCTCTGGGAATTGATCTCAAAGGCAATACTCGTAGTTACCATAAGTAGCTAGACAGGTATAAATTTTATTCATAGTTAATTTAATTGTTTGATGTAGCAAACTCGAATGGAATTGTAACTTTTATAGAGCCTAAAGAATACTTAAAGTTGTGATGCCGTAATAAAAAAAAACATAGCTCAATATAAAATAAAAAAAATATAATACGTGTGTCTACTTAGGCACTGCGTATGTCGTTAATGTATAGGACGCAGAACAGCGTGTTGGTGTCATCTGACAATACCAATCAAACCAATTACAAACTTAACAATAGAAGTTACATTTCTTAATTGCCTAATTAAAGGCTGCACGTGCGAGTTCACGCGTATTTCAGTTAATATTCTTAATTTAATGATAATAGCAAAAAACATTTTTTAAACACGTACAGAACAATAATGAGTCATCAAAATCCGTTTTTGCATAAAAGAGTATCCTCACAAACTTTCACATTCAACATTACATTTAATTATTTTAAGCTATGGTACAAAATCCACGGATTTGTGAACAACAATTTAGGCTGAGTTGCACTATCTTAATTTAACCGTAACCCATAACCGGTGTTATTGTATGGAGTTTAACAGACTTTTAAAAAACCCTCTTTCACTAAGCTCTCAATTTTTAAGTTTTGGTATAAAATTATAAATGGAATAATTTCAGGAAGGTAAAAATAAAGTTTTTGTTGTTATAAAATATAATAATTTATTTCCTTACAACAGGAACAGTGAACACTTATAGCTAATTAGTTAATTTAATTATTTATTAATAGCGAGCAGGCTGGCCATTTGAATCTGTAAAGAAAATATTGAATTATTTACGTGATGAGATAAATAAGTGAAACTGGAGGTCGTGTGAAACTGATCTAATGGGTAGGATGAAACCAAATGATTATGCTCGTTACAAGAACTAGTTAATGATGAATCTAGTTTTGATAAAAAAATGTAAGACAAAAACAGAGGTTCTCAGAAAAGAAAAGTTATTATGCGGTAATACTATATTTTTAAAAAGAGGCTAAGGCTATGACTGGCCTTTGACCAGTAAAGCACAAAGTGGTTTATAATATAATAACATTCAATAAAATTTAACCTTCAGAAAATACTGAACCTCTACTATAGATAAATATATAAATATAAATATCCTTGGACATTTTACACTACGCTTCTAGTTCCAAACTAAGCAAAGCTTGTACTATGGGTACTAGACAACGGATATAAACATAATTGAATACTTTTTTTTTGTAAATACATACATATTATACATAGTAACACCCAGACCCATCACAGAAATTAAAATTCATCATTTCAATTTCTGCCCGGCCGGGAATCGAACCCGGGACCTCTCGGCATAGTAGTCCGTATCGAAACCACTACACCAAACGGCCGACCAACCAAATACAGCTGAGATAAAGTATACGGCTACAGTATACGGTTACTACTCACATTGGTTATATTGGGGGTAGCCTTGGTAGGACGACTGCGGGCCTGAAAATATTAAAAGCATTAATTTTTAATCTTTTTTAGCAAGTATCAATAATATAGAGTATAGAGTCATTATTAAGTTCATGTAATCATAATGGTTAAATAATAATAGATAGGCACCATATAGAGTGTAAGTAAATCGTATTGGCTAATCGATTTTACATAGGATGTAATAATGGGTCAAAGGCTTTAATATCAGCATAAATAACAATACTAAATAGTTACTCTACAGTAATTTTGACCGAAGAAGCGGTAACCTTAATAGAAAGTAGCAATATAAAGTCAGAAAGCATGTGTAGGTACCTTGGTTTTGGTTTTAATTTTGAAGGTATTCTTGGTCAGCCTGGTTCACAGCTTGATTTTTATTCTGAGCAGCTTCTTGGTTCACGGCGGGGTTTCCAACTTGGGGAGCGTTTTGGTTAACGGCTTGGCTTGGCTCGTTCACGGCCTTGTTTCCAGCTTGGTTCCAGGGTTGGTAAGCGTTTTGGTTACCGACTTGGTAAGCGTTTTCGTTCACGACTTGGTTTCTGGCTTGGTTTCCGGCTTGGTTTCCAGCTTGGTTCCAGGGTTGGTAAGCGTTTTGGTTTGGAGCTTGGTAAGCGTTTTGATTACCAACTTGGTAAGCGTTTTGGTTTGGAACTTGGTAAGCGTTTTGGTTACCGACTTGGTAAGCGTTTTCATTCACGGCTTGGTTTCCAACTTGGTTCAATGGTTGGTAAGCGTTTTGGTTACTGACTTGGTTGGCGTTTTGGTAACCGACTTGGTAAGCGTTTTGGTTGCCGACTTGGTAAGCGTTCTGGTTAACGGCTTGGTAAGCGTTTTGGTTACCGACTTGGTAAGCATTTTGGTTCGCGGCTTGGTTTGGAACTTGGTAAGAGCCTTGGTTCACAGCTTGGTTTCCGACTGGGTACGAATTTTGGTAAGCGTCAGGGCTTACTGAAAATAAATGCAGAGACGATTAGTTTTCTCGATTTAAAAAAAAAATATTAGGGTGTATCATAAAAATATTTGGTTACAAATGAAAGCATTCGAAAAAAATGTGTTTTGGTTAAAATATCTTGAATAATTTGAGAGGGAAGTATACTATACTATACNCATCGATTTTACATAGGATGTAATAATGGGTCAAAGGGTTTAATATCAGCATAAATAACAATTTACAATACTAAATAGTTACTCTACAGTAATTTTGACCGAAGAAGCGGTAACCTTCATAGAATAAAATTAGCAATATTAAATCAGAAAGCATGTGTACCTTGGTTTTGGTTTTAATTTTGAAGGTATTCTTGGTCAGCCTGGTTCACAGCTTGATTTTCTTTTTGAGCAGCTTCTTGGTTCACGGCGGGGTTTCCAACTTGGGGAGCGTTTCGGTTAACGGCTTGGCTTGGCTCGTTCACGGCCTTGTTTCCAGCTTGGTTCCAGGGTTGGTAAGCGTTTTGGTTACCGACTTGGTAAGCGTTTTCGTTCACGACTTGGTTTCTGGCTTGGTTTCCAGCTTGGTTCCAGGGTTGGAAAGCGTTTTGGTTTGGAACTTGGTAAGCGTTTTGATTACCAACTTGGTAAGCGTTTTGGTTTGGAACTTGGTAAGCGTTTTGGTTACCGACTTGGTAAGCGTTTTCATTCACGGCTTGGTTTCCAACTTGGTTCAATGGTTGGTAAGCGTTTTGGTTACTGACTTGGTTGGCGTTTTGGTAACCGACTTGGTAAGCGTTCTCGTTGACGGCTTGGTTTCCAACTTGGTTCAATGGTTGGTAAGCGTTTTGGTTGCCGACTTGGTAAGCGTTCTGGTTAACGGCTTGGTAAGCGTTTTGGTTACCGACTTGGTAAGCATTTTGGTTCGCGGCTTGGTTTGGAACTTGGTAAGCGCCTTGGTTCACAGCTTGGTTTCCGACTGGGTACGAATTTTGGTAAGCGACAGGGCTTACTGAAAATAAATGCAGAGACGATTAGTTTTCTCGATTTAAAAAAAAATGTTAGGGTTTATCATAAAAATATTTGGTTACAAATGAAAGCAAGCAATTCGAAAAAAATGTGTTTTGGTAAAAATATCTTGAATAATTTGTTCATTGTTCACAGACCTTGGTTTGCGTACTGTTCCTTGGCTTGAGGTTGAGGTTGAACTTGAGGTTGAACTTGAGGTTGAACTTGAGGTTGGACTTGAGGTTGAACTTGAGGTTGAACTTGAGGTTGCGGTTGAGGTTGAGGTTGAGTTAGAGGTTGAGCTTGAGGTTGAGATTGAGGTTGAGCTTGGTTGGATTCAGCAATGACGTTCTTGGCAAAGTTAGTAACTGTAACGAAAAAAAGCATTTAAACTCACCGCCAAACACAATTTTTTAGAAACGTAGCACCAAAGTCGATTTTAATTACAGCTAAAATGTTTTTTAAACTTTTGGCTAGATTATGTTTCCGTGACATACCATCGCTTGCGTAGTTTTGCCAGGACGTAGCGGTTTCCTCAGCTGTGGATACAAGTAAATCTTTTTAAGTATTAAATACAAAGAATGATACTTTTTGCTTTATGTTATTAGATGACTGACACTTGCCGCCAAGTTCGTATTCACAATTTTATTAATTTCTAAAAAACTCGTGTTAACTACATAGTTGTCTCTCTTGTATAAAATATATTAAATTGTAAATATGAAGTTATGTAAATAGTAATTTAAAGCTTATTTAGTTACCTTGCTGTCCTGTGTAGCGATTTACGTTCCAATTTTTACCTGTATAAAAAAATAAGTAATTAATCAGAATAATGAATTGAAAGTTTCAAAAAATATTTAATGCATTTATATGCTCAACATTATGAATACCTTGCCATTGATTCACTCTTTGGGAGCCTTGGATGGCAGCATTGTTCAGGTTATTCAAGTATGAGGCTTGGTTAGCAACGTTGTTTACGTTTTGGTATGAGGCCTGGTTAGCAACGTTGTTGACGTTTTGGTATGAGGCCTGGTTAGCAACGTTGTTGACGTTTTGGTATGAGGCCTGATTAGCAACATTGTTGACTTCCTGGTTGGCAACGTTGTTGACGTTTTGGTATGAAGCCTGGTTTGCAACGTTTTGGTATGAGACTTGATTGTTATTCACTTTTTGTTGGGCTTGGTTAGCGCCGTTATTTACACCTTGATACACTTGGTTAGCGATGTTGTTTACGTCCTGGTATGAGGCCTGGTTAGCAGCATTGTTGTAGGCTTGGTTGTTGTAGCCAATGTTGTTCACTCCTTGATTGGCAACGTTGTTTAAGTTTTGGTATGCAGGCTGATTAGCAACATTGTTCACGCCTTGTTGTGCTTGGTTAGCGTTGTTTAGACCTGACCCTTGGTTCCAACCTTGGTAGCCATTCCATTCTGGAAAAATACCATAAATATAACAAAGGAACGATAATAATAATAACATACGATAATAAGTTGCAAATTGCAAGCAACAATTATATAAATTAACGTACCTGGCCTCGCCGAGCAGGCAACAATAGTGCAAAGAAGGATCTGAAATTGCAACAAATATTCGGTTAGGAACTAACAAACAAATAATGTAACTTCTACATATAACTTTCTTTACAAGTGTGAGTGCGTTATCCTTCATTATCGCTTCCAGGAAAGCTACTCGTTAACTCATCAGGTACAGTCAACAGCAATAAGTCGATGATTATTAGAAATTCAATACACTAATGAACGATATTCGCGTTAGAACTCTTATCTGTAGCATTGAGATGATATTAAAGTAGATTACCTATAAGTACTACGCTACTAACAACATACAGTTTGGACGCAAACTTCGTACATCATTAGTATGAGTTTTTGATTTTGATCTTCAACTTTTGCATTTGACTGTACACAAACTGCGTACATGACATTGGGTGGACATTGGCTTTAGAGTGAATTTTTGAAAGGTATTTTATTTACCCTTGTACTTTAAGGCAGGCATTAGGGAAGACCTGGTTAAGACCAAGTAGAAATGCGATTGTGATAGAATATTAGTACAAGTCAGTCACTGTGTAGGTTTGTTGTCGACACGAAAAGAAGAAGTCCCGTTACCTTTGTGGCAAGCGAAATATGCTTGTGTTACGAGTGGGTTCACAACAATAGTTCATAAGCGCAGCGAGGATCGAACCTGAGGTGGAATTGTGTAAAGCAATCGTTAACATTTGACAGTTCATAACGTACGATTATTCTGTCAAACACTTTGTTTAACTGACTTTATCGTACGTTATGAACTGTCAAATGATTACGATTGCTTTACACAATTCCACCTCTGATCCGACACCGACACCATTGGGTGGACCTAGACCGGTGGGTGGTGTCTATGATGCAGTCTATTTTTATAAAATGCTTAATACTAAGGCGCAGAATATTACAGAACTCGAAATATTAGTAAGTACAAGTGGTACAAGTAATAAAAATAAAAGCAAGTGATACTTACTACGGCGAAAGACTTCATGGTGGAGCTGGTTGTACCTTTGCTTGCTGTATGGAGCTTAGTGATGGGTTACCGGTATCTTTGGCTTTTATACCCGGTTTAAACCATTTAAACTGATGTTTGATTACCAAATATAGCACAAAAATAACAGATGTTCCATAGAATTTGGTGGATTCCGCTCCAATTGTGTTTGATATTGTTTGTACATAAATTATTAATTGACGTGGATTAACGTTGCCGTTGAAATACCTACCCAACAAAATATTTGTATTGTGTGAGCGTCACCAATTCTAGAAATGTAGATGCTTCAGTCATTCTCGTAGTTACGTAAGTAACGGTGGTGTCCGCGGAAGACCAGTGTCTTCACATGCTTCTAACAAGCTGAGCTAACATGAGCTTGCGAACATATTAATTAAAAAATAAATTGTTGTACATGTTAATTGAAACTGTTATTGATGATGCCTGTGTGTGAAAGAAAAATAAAGATTTTTTTTACAATAAACAATAGAATTAAAAAAAAAAAACAAATTATTTTAATCATCATAAGATGCAATTGTTAAAATGAGCACTATGTTCATGAAGATTTTTCTTTAGCCGAAGTAATAAATCTCTATCACTATACTACGAACTACGATAGCGATCAACCCAAACACGTTCAGGTTCACTGCTGGAAAAAGTCCTCCTCCAAGGATTTCCATTGCCTGTTGTATATTTTCATAGCTTCGTTGCCCTCATCCAGGCGCTTCCTGTGATTTTCACAAGTCCGATACAAAATTAAGGGTGTATAGTGATTACATAATCATCGCTACATACAAAAGAGTTCGACGCATTAGCAGATACACATAATATTACAAAACTTAAAAAAGCTTGTAATTATTGTGCAAATAAAGACTTTGAATTGATTGGAATTAGGGTGCGATCATATTATGTACCTAACATTTAGATCTAGACACGCGGCAGCATGTCAAGCCAAATTCAAGTAAAGGAACTAGCTAGCCAGCGCCGAGTGTACCTAATATTAGGTACATGAACCATTTGGTGCCACTTTAGACCCTTCTCTAACTCAAAAACCTCTTCAAAGTACCTAATTTGTTTTACGTTGTCAAATCAAACTTAAGTACGCATTTGCCTACAAAAATTGGTCAGAGAGAGGACTTACAACTCAGATTATCTACATTTTTGTTGCGATATCGTTCTTAGGTTTCCGAGGCTCTCCCAAACAGTATCTTAATATCTTGGTTGTCAGAGAACTCTAAAAATATTGCATTTTCGGAGTATTTGTAGAACTGTAGGATTTTTTTGGACAATTTTACTGTTATTTTTACTTATCATTACGTCTTAGGTCATCTGTACAAACATTTATAATTTCAAGGTACAAAATTATAAAATTGAAAATTATATAATGCTAACTGAATCATAATAACATAATGTTTGTACAACTGAAGTAACATTAATGTGACTAATTCCGTTATGGCTAACTAAAATACAATTAAACAGAAGCTACTAATAGAATTTGAAGTCATCGTCATGTTAATCCCATTCATTCTATTTTAGCAGAAAAAAATCCTATGACTTTAAACTGTTTGGGGCTAGAGTTGCAGTGAAAAAAAAGAAACAGTTAAATTGTAAACATGTGTTTTATTACAATGCTTTCAAAATTTTGTTGTAGGGTTCCGAGAATGTGATGCCAATCTAGCAGCATGTGTAGTTCAGGTTACGTCGCATTCAGGCATCTCGAGCCATCGCATCTGTAAATAAAGTAGTTTGATTTGTTAAAAATTTATGTATGAAAGATTTCGTTGGCCTAACGTTGATGGATAACGATTAAAAATTATGTTTTCTAAGCAGCAATCAAGTCTNTCTGACTCAAGTCTGCCTAGTACACACTGTCAGCGTCAAACAGTTCGTGAGACCCATAGTAGCCAATAAGGTTGAGTTGCACCACTTAACTTTGACCGTAAATCGATAACCGGTGCTTTTTGTATGGAGTTTGACAGATTTTTGACGTTTGTCAAAGTTAAAGTAAGATGATGCAAGCCAGCCTAAGTTTGCAACACGTCTTTGTTACAATAATTGCAATAAGGTTGTGTTATCAATTTGTTTGCCACTTTGGATGTCACGAACTATTGATGCTGACAGTAGGTAGACCTTAAATTATTTTTCGGATCTTTAATATAGATAGAATAAATAAAATAAATATAGATAAAATAAATGTTTAAAACTCTTTATAGTCCCAGGGACCTTGGACGTACCTTGTGAATTATAATGTTCCACGAAGACGGGGTCAATATCTGTAAAAAAAATATTAAAATTCATATTTTGGCTCACTCTTTTCGCCTTTCACTAACTTGTATACATTGTTAAATAATTAGATACAATACAACGAATTACTAGGTTACTTTAAAATAAATAGTGAGACGAGTAACAAATTCAAAAAGAAATTACTTACTAGGAGTTTGGAATCCGCCTTGGCTATCTATAAACATAAAGAAACAAAACAATGAGCTTAATACTTAGGTACTTGTAGGGCTGATTTTTCAATCGTTGGATAACTTTTATCTGAAGAATAAGTTAGGCACATTGACAGTTGTTTTAGTATGGGAAATAATTTTTCATATTATGTCAAAATGACAAGGTTATTCTTCAGTTAAAAGTTATCCGACGATTGAAAAATCAGCCCTCAATTGTTTAACTACAAGGTTTAATTTTTGTGTGTCTCATTCTTATCTAGAAATTGAACCTAGATCTACGAATGGAGAGATTTGTGTTTTTGAGCCACATGACTGAGATATAAAATATTTTTGGAAATCATAAGAAAAGTACGATACCGTATATTTGAAAATAAATTAAAATCACTTACTGTCGTAGATGCTGGGCTGAGAGAAGGCAGGGTCAACTATAAGAAAAGAATAGAAATCACAACACAAACCAATTTTAGTCCTTCAATCTCATCTCATAAAAACTATATGTAAATTAGGCTTTTTTCAGATACAATCCTCAGATACACAATAGCGGGTTCATAAAATAGAATCTTGTTGGTTCTCTTTTTTTTTAGTTTTAACCAACTTACACTTTTAATTTCTTATGAGAAAATAGAGTTAACGGTTAAAGTTTGGGCAGTAAAAACTTTAAAACTTACTTGGATTTTGGAAACCGCCTTGGTTCTGATCTGTTGACAAAAAATATATGTTTCTAAGGTGGGTAATTACTAGATTACATGCGAATGAGAAGGTACCTCTTCTGGAGCATTCACATGTAATCTAACGATGCAAGATTAGATGTAGAGCTTTATGCAGAGCTTAGCGTAATAAAAGTAAAATTGCTTCTCGCAGAGCTGAAAAATGGAATCTCATATTGCAATATGATCTAGGTCTACCCCATAACTCAGCCAGTGTATGAGGTACGGAAGGGGTGATTTTGACATATTATGACGTCACAGAGCATACAAATCTGAAGCCTAACTGAAGTCTCGATAACATTCGACGTCTCAAAAACACCCCCCCTCATGCCGCTCCCTTACCTCAGACTGACTGAGTTTTTTAAGTGGTGCTAGACCTGTACATACGAATACTCTAGGATGAAGGAGCGTACTATGAAAGATTCGTAATCTCAATTTGCATTAAAGGACATTGTCAGAAACCGCCTAAAAAACCGCCCAAAAACATTAACCCATCATAATTATTTTCTATTTTTTTTAATACATTAAGCACCCTTTCATTCTAATGGACACTTAAGCATTGAAAAATTAAATAAATAAGTCTTTTAACGTTTATTCTATAATACTATTACAACTTCCGGACGTTTTGGTGCGTGGCATGGTCNGTCAATTGTTTAACTACAAGGTTTAATTTTTGTGTGTCTCATTCTCATCTAGAAATTGAACCTAGATCTACGAATGGAGAGATTTGTGTTTTTGAGCCACATGACTGAGATATAAAATATTTTTGGAAATCATAAGAAAAGTACGATACCGTATATTTGAAAATCTACATATAAGAAAAGTACATACCGTATATTTGAAAATAAATTAAAATCACTTACTGTCGTAGATGCTGGGCTGAGAGAAGGCAGGGTCAACTATAAGAAAAGAATAGAAATCACAACACAAACCAATTTTAGTCCTTCAATCTCATCTCATAAAAACTATAATTATGTAAATTAGGCTTTCTTCAGATACAATCCTCAGATACACAATAGCGGGTTCATAAAATAGAATCTTGTTGGTTCTCTTTACAGTTTTAACCTACTTACACTTTTAATTTCTTATGAGAAAATAGAGTTAACGGTTAAAGTTCGGGCAGTAAAAACTTTAAAACTTACTTGGGTTTTGGAAACCGCCTTGGTTCTGATCTGTTGACAAAAAAAATATGTTTCTAAGGTGGGTAATTACTAGATTACATGCGAGTGAGAAGGTACCTCTTCTGGAGCATTCGCATGTAATCTAACGATGCAAGATTTGATGTAGAGCTTTATGCAGAGCTTAGCGTAATAAAAGTAAAATTGCTTCTCGCAGAGCTGAAAAATGGAATCTCGCATTGCAATATGATCTAGGTAGCCCTTAACTCAGCCTGTGTATGAGGTATGGGAGTGCCACGGAAGGGGTGATTTTGACATATTATGACGTCACAGAGCATACAAATCTGAAGCCTAGCTGAAGTCTCGATAACGTTCATCATGATCATCATTTCAGTCATAGGACGTCCACTGCTGAACATAGGCCTCCCCTAATGCTTTCCACGTTGATCGATTGGTAGCAGCCTGCATCCAGCGCTTCCCTGCTACCTTTACGATGTCGTCAGTCCACCTTGTAGGTGGACGTCCCACGCTGCGTTTCCGGTACGCGGCCTCCATTCCAGAACCTTGCTGCCCCATCGGTCGTCAGTTCTGCGTACTATATGCCCTGCCCATTGCCACTTCAGCTTGCTAATCCGTCAGGCTATGTAAGCAACTTTAGTCTCGATAACGTTCGCTGTCTCAAAAATACCCCCCCTCATGCCGCTCCCTTACCTCAGACTCACTGAGTTAAGTGCTTGACCTGTACACACGGCCACACTGTTAACTAT